GTTCAAAGCCAGCCCGGGCAGGAGAGACCGTGAGACTCCTATCTCCAATAAACCACCAGAAAACCGGAAGTGGCGTTGTAGCTCAAGTGGTAGAGCGCTCGCCTTGCTTGAGCTGAAGAGCTGCGGGACAGTGCCCAGGCCCAGAGTTCAAGCCCCAGGACCGACAAAAAAAAAAGAAAGAAACATTATATAATAAAGTTATCCAGATGCCAGCCAGGTGCTGGTGACTGACACCTGCAATCTTAGCTACTCAGGCAGCTGAGATCTGAGGATCAAAGTTCAAAGCCAGCCCACCCAGGAAAGTTCATGAGACTCTTCTCTCCAGTTAACTACCAGAAAAAAACTGGAAGTGGATCTGTGACTCAAGTGGTAGAATGCTAACCTTGAGTATAAAAGCTTAAGGATAGCACAGGCCTCAAGAGTTGAAGCCTCAGGCCCAGCACAAAATAATAATAATAATAATAATAATTCAGATGCCTAACAGTAGTGCTGCATATTTGATTTCTGCATAGAAAGGGAAAAAATAAACTTGTAGGAAACTTGTTCATGGGAATTTATTTTTGTGTGTAGGCCCTGTGTTGGACTAATGGCTGCCCCCCCAGAAGAGATGCAGTGGTTCTGTGCCAAGTGTTCTGCCAACAAGAAGAAAGATAAGAAGCACAAGAAAAGAAAGCACCGAGCTCACTGACAGCTCCTGGAGGCTGGACCACGCAGGATCAGCAAAGGCTGCCTGCTGCCTCCCTGGTGCCTCTGGACAGAGCTAGTGTGGTTCTGCCATCCCATTGCCCCCAGGCCTTGGATAAGGAATCGGTGAAGATAGAGGACAAGAACATGCCATCCACTCTGCCTTCCCTTCTGAAACACTCGGAGGTTCCACAGTGGCGTGACTGAAGAAAACTCCAGAAGGGGCGTGGCCTGAGGGCTGCCCACCTCCATTTTTCTATTACCAGTGACAAGTATTAATAAAAGAGACCATACATCTTCCCTTTTGCTTTTCTTTATTCTCTCCAGGGCCTTTTCTTAAGGTGTAAGATGAGAAGATAATGTATAAACTGCCTTGACTCTAATTTAAGGATGGTATCATTAGTCTGTATACAGCTTTCAACCCCTTTCCCTCTAGAGTAAAATAATCATAATAACATAAAAGAAAACTCCACTTGGGATATTGGTAAATATTTTTGTGATGAGAATATATGAAGCTTCCCCCCAACCCTGTTTTTAGTACTAACATGTAAAATGTTTGGGCTTTTGTGAAATACCTTATATTTTTTAAGAAAAAGGTTTCTATCATGTCCTCTTTGCTTCTGTGCAAATTAGTTTTGTTTAACCTATTTGATATCTTTGTTGCATTCTAATTTCGCCCTTCTTTAAACTGCTGGAGTCTCTTCTCACTGCTTGTACATTTCATCAACTTGTATAGAGAAAAACTTCATACTAAAAAAAATTCTCCTAATGTAAATAATAAATATTTATGAAGTAGTTATTTTTTAAATTTTTATCGTGTTTAATTCTGGCTTTCTCTGAAATCCACTGTGATTTCAGCCATGTCTGTAATTACTGCTGTACATAGGCAAAGGACGAGAAAAAGAGCCATAGAGCAGAATAATTTACCTTGAGCTGAATGAAACTGTGCAGTGCCCAAAACTTGTGGGTAAGAAGACCCTAGCAGTTGGAAGGAGAACAGGGCGATTTGAATCTGGAGTTTATGTTTTGAAATTGTTTTGTTTGTCATCTATCTTGTTTCTGTAAATTTTTCTGCCTTTTACTAAAAGGACATGTAGGTTCCACAAAAGTTAAAAACAAAAAAAAACATCAAACAAGAAAAAAACATACTGTAGCATTCTGTGTTTATATTGTTTTATTTCTACAAATTTGTTCATTGATATTGTGCTTTAAGGCTGAAATGAAGTATATTATGAATTTTTTTAAGAAAATGCATCAAATTTCAGGGTATCTCAAAACCTTATTATATTACTATACTGCCCACTATTTATTATATGTTATAGATATCTGAAAGGTAAACCAAATATTTTATTTTTAATGTAAAAAAAGACATCAAATTAACTTTATTAGCATATTTTAGTGACTTTGGAATAACCAATAATTTTGAACTTTTACTTGATTTTGAAATAATCTTAATTTGGACCCATGTGGTAGATATCTTGAATGCTAGAATATGGGCTTTGAATATAATACAAATATATTAATAGAAAATGTGAATTGTTTTACTGCAAAGTCAATTGATATTAGTGTTTGCATTCATCTTATTCTAAAATATTATGTGGTTACAGAAATGTGGTTTTCAGCCGTGATGTTAAATTGCAAATCAGTGGAAATGGAGTAGACCTTTCAAAAGTACATGACATAATTGCCCTCCTTGTTCTAGAAACCAGAATTTTTCTATCCCTGCCAAAAAAAAAAATTCATGTTGAGATATGTGGTTTTTGTTTTATTCATTTGAGATCATACTAAATACAATATTTTCACATGCACAAACCTACCCATTAGTGCTTTTCAGAGGGGGATGAGGGATAGGGAAACTGCAAAATAAAGATTATTGGCTGTTTCATAGTTTGCTTTTCCATTTTCTTTATTTAGGATTTAGTTCCTTGAGGCATGGTCAGTGGATCTAAAGTTGCCACGTTTAAGTGAGCAGGTCATGCACTACCATAAGAACGAATGTGCGTATATATAACTTTTCACCCACTCCTCCTGTCTGAGAGACTTCAGCCCGGACTACATTCAAGGAATTTCAATCAGTTTGTTGTCCCTTGCTATTTCATGGTTGCTTTCCTAAATCCAGTTCATGATTTTATAAATGGTCTTTGCAATAATAAAAACCAAAGAATCATTTTCAGGGGGCTGGATGGCTCAAGGGATTAGTAATGGAATACAGAGCCTTTCACCTCTTGGTCAGTGAGTTGAATCCAGTCCAGGTCACTAGAGACCAAAAGTTGTCACCATCTTATGGACTGTTCAGTGGCCTGTGTGAAATGAACTGGTGGTCTCGGTGGTACCAGTCAAAGAAAGTTCAAGAAACTGAAAGAAAAAAAGAAGGTAGATTAGAAAAAAAGAAAATATCAGTGATACAAAGAAAAGTTAGAAAATTGGTCGGAGCCATTCTCCAGAAAGTAATAACTAGAGAAAATGAGAGCAGCATAAAAACATCACAATCATCACGAAGAGAATGGAGCTTAATTGACTTCTACAAATGATGGCAAAACGGGAAAAGGAAAAAGGCAGCATCGATTGAGAGACAGTAGTAGGAATAGACAAGGATGACCATCCGGATTTAAACTATAGGGAGCCTAAAAACTTAAATGAAGTGACTGGAAGGATAAGAAAACCGCCATAGCAGCATGCAAGGAACTACTGGATCTGAGAATTGGGTACAAAGGAATTCAAGGTATTCCTTTCTTCTGGAAGGTTAGGTGTAAGTAAAATCATGACCTGTTTTCATTTTTAACCCTGCTGCATGATTTGAATAGCAATCCTAGACAGAAGTAGGAGAAGCGCTTGGCCTGGCTGGTGACTTGATTGGAGAAGATGGTATTTAAGAAACAGAAAACTGAGCCACTCTTCTAGTGTGATAATCCGCCTTTGGGGCCAGGACTAGCTGGCAAAGCATCAGCTCGGTGGCTGACAAGGTGTTTCTCTTCAGAAGGTGTCTGCCATTAAGCAGTGCATGCACTGAGGATCTTTATCCTCTGGCTGATTTGTGGTTACAAGCATCCTGAAGAAAAGCAGAGACTATCAGAGAATTCTGACTTTGTCAAGCTTTTTTTTTTTTTCCAGAGATAAAATATAGTGCATTACTCTACAGTGTCACCTAAACCACCTTTGTTCTCCTTTCAATAGGACGATTAAACAAAAGACCCACTAACCAAATTAAAGTATAAAATGAACAGGGAGATATGGGAACCTTCCCACTGAGAATGCTAATGAGTGAGTTCCTAACACCATGTGGGCTAAGTTTTCAATACAAATAGTTTTATGGCCAATCTCTTTAGATCATAGCAGCTTTCTTTAGAAGTTTTAAGTCTGAAAGTAGATGAGTTACCTTGACTGAAGAATGGAATAGATAATGCCCTGAATAAATCTCTTTCTACAATGCTATCAGTCATTTCTGTTAAGACACTATTTCTTTGAGAATCTTGCATTCGTTGTAGCCTGAAAAGTATAAGGTAACTATTAATCTAGGTGTTCAGGCCAGAGGAGGACATCAAAATTAGATAAGAGGAACTGGACAATTGATTGTTCGTTCCACTCAAATTAATATTTTGGCTGGAAATATGGTTCCAGTGGTTCAGTGCATGCTTAGCTTGTATGCTTAGCACACATGAAGCCCTGGACTCATTAAAATACCAGGACCGGAAAAAAACAAACAAACAATGAATAAAACAGCATATATGTGAGTTGGTAGAATAACTACTTGTTACTTTTGTCATCCTGAGAAGCTAAAATAACTTCAGTTTTTCATTGAGTTTGTAGAACCTTATCATTTTTTTTATCCCACATTTGCTAGGCACATTCCTGAGAATGGCAAAGATGTGTTACACCCAAGTTTATTCCCAGAGGTGCAGTTTCTGGGGCTCAAGACTTAATTTACCCATGGTTTTACACTTATTCATGCAGTATTTAAAAAACAAAAAACTGGTACTAGGGACCAACCCAGGACCTCACGCACACTAGCAAGCACTCTAGCACTGAGCCATGTCTCCAGTCCATTCTTTCCAGATTCTGTGAACTAAAACGCATTGCATTCCAACTAGCCAGGAGGTGGACATCTGGAGGATTACAGTTCAAGGCTATCCCGAACAAGAACACTAAACCAATAAAGTTGGGCGTGGTGGTATGTGTCTGTGGTCCCAGCATATTCCAGGTATAAATGGGAGAGCATATATAAAAAAAAAGAAAGAAAAGAAAAGAGCTGGGGCATAGTTGAAGTGGTAAAGCACCTGCCTACCAAGCACAAGACCAAGTATGAAAATCAATAAAGTTGCACCAGACTAGAAGCATATTGCATACTTGTTCTTATCCCATTTTTCTTTTCCTTGTGTTAAGGGGGGGAGGCAGTGTTTTTGCTGAGGTTTGAACCCAAGGCATCCTGAGTTTACCACTTAAGCCACATCATCATTTTGCTTTCTGTTATTTTTGAAATACGTATGAAATATATACCAGTGCCTGCCAAGAATTCAATCCTCTTACATACACTTCCTTTGTAACTGGAATCATAGTATGTGCCACCATGGCTGGCTTGTTTTTGAGATAGGGTCTCCCTAACTTTCCTAAACCAGCCTTGAACTTCCATTTTCCTGTCTCCATTTCTTGGGTAGCTGGGATTACAGCTTTTCCCATGTTTCCATACAGTCTTTCTATTCACTTTAGACTGTATCTTATTGTTAATATAGTTGTTTGTCAGTTGTGGGGCTTGAACTCTGGGCCTTGGCACCATCCCTGAGCTCTTCAGTTCAAGGCAAGCACTCTACCACTTGAGCCACAGTGCCACTTCGGGTTTTCTGGTGGTTAATTAGAGATAAACGTCTCATGGACTTTTCCTGCCCAGGCTGGCTTTGAACTGTGATCCTCAGATCTCAGCCTCCTGAGTAGCTAGGATTATAGGTGTGAGCCACGCACACTGGCTGAGTTTTATGCTTATAAATGTTCAGAACAAAATTTTTTTAAAGTTCTATGTGTGCGTGAACTCTCCTCAGTAATAGCAGAGTAGAATCATGTAAAAAATACATTGGTACAAAGATGCATTGGGCTTTCAGGACAGAAATGTTTAGGTACTTAGCAATAATTTCCCACTATACCCTTAGAACCTAGTTGTCATCTGTCTGTCTGGTTTTTGAAGTTTAGTTGGGATTTCGTTTGGTCTTGTTTTGGGCTGGTGAAACATTGCAAGTAGGATTATTTTAAGCACAACACGTACCTGATGGAGGTGTCTGATTGCCATTAATGAGTTCACTACTGACGACTTAAATGATTTTAAGGAAATGTTTGTTAGTTCTAGTGGGCTCGTGTAAAATTATAGATGTATTTAAAATTCAAAGTATCCATCAATAGTATCTAGTTATTGTCTGATCATTCCTTACACTATTGGGGATGGTGATTAAAATTTTGGGGCTATCTTTTAGGAAGTAGAGCACCTAATTTTTCATCTTTCCTGGTTTGTTTGTTTAGATAGAATCTCACATGTAGCCCAGGCTAGCATGAAATCTATGTTGCCCATGATGGCCCCAAATCCAGGATCCTCCTGCTTCTGCTACCCGATTGCTGGGATGACAGGTGTGTACCTCCATGCTTGGTCCTTCTATTAATTCTGACATAGCTATTTACATTCACAAAGCAATTATCAGGATGTGCCTGTCTTATACTCATCCATATCCATATATTTCTAAAAAAAAATGTCTATTAGTCATCATTTTGGGAGAGAGCCCATGTGTACTGGAAGGGTACAAAATGAAGGAGAGGGCTGGGAAGGTGGCTCAGT